GCCCAGGAGCTGTAATCCACTGTGATGCTAACAATTGTCTCGAGTCACATGTGCTCATTCATGTACACACAGAATGTCTGGTCCACCGTGTGCACTGGGGTAAAGGGCCACAGGGAGATGGGAAAGAATGAAGCAACCTTCTTCCTGCCCTCACGAAGTCCATTTTCTTATGATGCAAACAAACACTGAACAAATCAGCATGTGTGATTGATGGGTGCTTAAAAATATGGATTGCCTTGAGGAAACATTCAAAGAAGGAGCCTAACCCAATCTGGAAGTGTGCTTACAAAAGTGACACTCACTCTGACAGCTGTGAGGCTGTTCCAGTAGACAGAACACTACTAACTGTCCAGGCCTTCCTTCATAGGAAACAGGAAGTGCACACAGTCTTAACAAGGGAGTAACACACTCAGAGAGCTCAGCCCAGAGTCCCAGAAGCCCATTCCATCTGCATGGTGGAAAGCAGCTTGCAGAGGACTGTGATCTGGAGACTACTGTGAGGGTCCTCTGGCACCAAGTGGGAGGAGGGGGTGTGGAGGATGTGTGTGTGTGTATGTATGTATGTATGTGTGTATGCATGCATGTATGCATGAATTTCAGTTTGATAAAGGATTCATAAAAAGATTGCACACAGGACTCTAAAAAGTCAATGTAGGAACTGGAGATAATTCATAAGCTAAGGGAACTTGCTTCTCTTGCAGAGGACCTGAGTTTGGTTCCCAGGTCCTATGTCAGAGGGTCCAAAATCTCCTGTAACCCTAGCTTCAGGAGATCCAACACCCTCTCTGACTTCCACAGGCACCTGCACTCTCATGCATATAACCTACACAGACACAGACACACACACCTGCCACACGCATTTAAACTGAATTTTTAAAAAGAGATATTTGCAAGTTCTTAAAAAAAAACTTTAATGAAAGAAGTCAAGCCAGTTTCAAACTGATCAAAATTCCAGCATTCTGGGTGGGGTGGGGTTGGAAGAGGCTCAGAAGGTCACACCCTTTGCTGAAGAGCCCTTAGCAGTTGATAGCTGCTCAGGGAGGGAGAGTCGGTTTTCTTCAAGGGTATGACATCTGCAAGGCTACCCAGTGCTCCAGCGGGTGGCCCTACACACTGTGTATATAAGCAGCATTAACTGGACTCAGCGGGCCGTAAACACAACAGCAACCAAGTCTACAAAGCAAATCAATTGTGGGCAAAGGATTTGAACAGAATATTGTCGAAGACAATGACACATGGCAAAGAAGCACGCAAAGACTCACTGAGCATCTTCACCAGTAGAAAATTCTAAGAGCAGCACGGGAGTCCTCCCCACACCTGAGTGATTGCTCAAACAATGGCAAGCTGGCACAGTGACTGATTGGAGGGTATTAGGTAATTCTACATCCGTTGGTAGAAATGCAAAATATAGCCGGGCGGTGGTGGCGCACGCCTTTAATCCCAGCACTCGGGAGGCAGAGGCAGGCGGATCTCTGTGAGTTCAAGGCCGGGCTGGACCGACAGCCTCCAAAACAATACAGAGAAATCCTGTCTCATAAAAACAAACAAACAAACAAAAACAACAACAACAACAACAACAAAAAGAAATGCAAAATATAAAGCTACTTAGGGAAACCACTTGACAATTTCTTTTAATGTTATGCACACCTTGCTATATGATTCGGAAAACCTGTCCTGAAGAATTTATCTGAGGGAAATGAAGACCTAGATCCACACAGAAAGTTGTGTGTGGATGCTTGCAGCAACTTTTCTCATAAGTACTGAAAGCCAGAAAAGAGATCAAATATTGTATGTGTAGATGAATATGTAGTGGCACGTATCTATGATCATACAGGAAGACTATTCAGAAACATAGAAAAATGAACTACAAAGGCACTCACAACATTGCTGAATTCAAAAGAAAAGTATCAGATGCGAAAGTATCCATGCCATATACTTGCACTGATTTATCCAGAAACAGCAAAAGCAGAAATCAGACCTACAGGTGTCATGCTGCCAGGGGCCAAGGAAGGAGTAGGAGATGGCTACACAGGGACACAAAGGATCTTGTCAAGATGTTGTAAATAGGGAGCTGGAGAGATGGCTCAGTGGTTAAGAGCACTGGCTGTTCTTCCAGAGGTCCTGAGTTCAATTCCCAGCAACCACATGGTGGCTCACAACCATTTGTAGTGGAATCTGATGCCCTTTTCTGACCTGCAGGGATATGTACAGACAGAACACTGTATACATAATAAATAAATCTTTAAAAAAAATGTTGCAAACATTCCATACTTTGTTTGGTGTAAGTCACATGACTATATAAGGTTCTTGGAATGTACTGAATTATATGTTTTAAAAGATGAATGTTTTGCTAATTACTATTCAGTTCAAAGAATGACATTTTGCAGCTTTGTGAAGAAATCCTAAGTGAAACTAACCAAGTATGGAAAACAGTTCAGTGTAGCTGTTCCAAGCTCTCCTCCAGATTCCATCCCTCCTAGAGCCGGGGTTGTTGTCATGAGCTGGTGGAAGCAAGAGAGAATGAAAACAAAACAAAAAAAACTGTTTTCTGAGCATTAGCCTGGGCTGAAAATGATCTGCTTCACACAGAGAAGGCTCTGTTCTGCTTGAAGACAGTAATCAAGGTGAAAGCAATGCTCTATAACATTTAAGAGGCCTGTCTGACACGGTCTTTTAGGATGAGCCCTGTTTGGTAGTGGACGAAGGGCATTTTTTGAAGGGATGCCCATCTCTTTCCCTCATTAAACATTTAAAATCCTGTGTGATTTCTACCATGTCAAAAGCAATAGTCTTGCCTTAAGGCACAAAGGAAACTTACAGTAAGTTTTGCCAAAAAACAAAACACAGCAGCAGCAAGAAACTTTGCCAACAATCATGTCAGGGAGTGACTGTACAACTGTGAAAAGCTGTGACAGACCATTCAGGATGCTCTTTAGACCAGCTGTGAAATACTTGTAAGCCAAAGAGATCAGCTCAGACATGACCCTGGATGCCATGCCCCGCCCCCGACAGTCTCCATAGGTGGTCAGCATGTCTGTCACCGCCATTCTTAAGAACCAAAGACCTGTGCCAAGCCATCTTATTCTACTCCAGCATCTCCTCATCTCTCATGATGGTCTCTCATCTCCCTTTCTGCATGTATGGCCTGACCTTTTATGAGAGCAGGGATGAAGGTTTCACTGACAGTCTCCAGCATAGAAATATAGAACATATTTCTTCTGTTTTCTTGGATTTTCATAATTGATTTTTTTTCTAGTCAAACTTCCTGTCCTAGATTTTAACAGAGAAGTGCAGTCATGTTGTGGAGAACACTAAAGACGGACTGAAACGTGACAACCCCAAATACTCTTCAACATCTCTTAGCTGTCTGTCACTGTAACAGGGCCATTCAGTTGATATCTTTATGAGGCAATAGGGTGATACTTTGTCTTATAAAGATATTGGGGAAATGTTACTGTCTGAAAAATGACAGTTTCGCATGTATATAAATGATAATTACCTAATAGATCTGCTCAGCTAAGAACCAAATACCCTTTCTAAAACTAAGACAGGCTTTTTTTCAATTAACTTTTTTTAGGATTTCCCACTGGAGTATTTGCATAATTTCTACTCTCCCCTCCCCTTTCAAATCCTCTCACGACCTCCCCATCACTCTCAAATTAATTGGCCTCTTTTTAAATTATTATTGTTACAGATATACATATGTGTCCATTTAGTGTTGCTTATATGTGTCCATGTTGTCATTGTCTAGGGAATCATATTGTTGAGATGTCGTGGATGCAGCTTCCCTCTCATAGACAAAAGACACTGTCTTGCAGTAGATGTCCTGGTCCTGAGGCTCTTAGGACTTTTCTCCATCCTCTTCCATGATGGTTCCTGAGCCTTGAATTTAGGGCTTTCATTGTATGTGTATCAATGGGTGATGCACACTCCACAGACTGTTGTTTTTTGCCTTTTGAACAGTTGTGGATTCCTGAGGACCTATTTCTTATAGTATCCAAAGGTGTTACTCAAACTTCTAAGAGAGAAGAACAATCAAGAGCCCTAACCAGCAGTAATATCCACAAACCATAACAATGACCAGCCTGGCAAGATACACACAGCGATACTTACGTTTTGGCAGCAACCAACAGCTGTCTAATTGGATGCAAGTCTGGCTTTCAACAGGAAGAGATTTATGCCTGTCACTGTAAAACTAGCCCACTGCTCATGGCTGGTGACGTTCTGAACTCTACATGGGTACCCACTAACACTACTTTCCTAAACCAGTATAATTTTGATCTGAATTTTAAATTCCCATCTTTACACAGATAAACGCAGCTCTCAACCTCATCAAAGAGGAGCCGGGACACTCAAACGAATACATGAAAACCAGCAACGCCCCCTTTCTATCTCATCATCTACGCCTGGTAGCGTAACCAACGCTACTTGCAAGCGAACAGTGCAGGGTGGGGATGAAGGGGCAATAGACCATTTTACGGATCACTCTGACATCTTGAATGATAAGGGATCACGTCAGGAAGGAATAAAAGAAGAAATGATATTAAGCCTCTTCTGTGGTGAGCAGGTTGTCTACCAAGTTTCTTTTTTTGGAGTAACCAAATGGAGTCTTCAAAACGAATTCGTGGTGGAAACATTTCTGATTCAGAAAAAGACTGCTTCACAGCAGTATGTGAGCATGGGTCAAACCTCTGATTTTTAAAAAACTTTTAGTATTTGTTCAATTTAAATTTTATGTGCATGGTGTTCCCCTATGTGCTTGTCTGTTCACCACCGCCTGTGTTCCTGGTGCACTCAGGGCTAGAAGAAGGCATCCAATCCCCTGGGCCTGGAGTCACGGAGGCTGTGAGCTACCATGTGGGTGCCAGGACTTGAACCCAGGTCCTCTGCAAGAGCACCCAGTGCTCTTGACTGGTGAGCCACCTCTCCAGCCCCTTTCTTGCTTTTAACAAATGTCACTCTTGGGGTTAAAATTTGGCCTTCACTTGCTCTGTTTTCAGGGTGGGCAATGTCCAGACTTGCAATGGCGTCGGTGGCCGTGGTTTCTGCTTCTGCAGGTATTCCCTAATGATGTTCTGCCACAGTGGTTTTGTGAATATGTGCATTTTAGCCCAACGTTATTTTCTCGTGAAAGACCTTATTACAAAATTATAATACATAAATATTTTAGCAGTAATAACATGGGTAATCATCCTTAATGGCCCGATCTGCCTATAGGCTTCTGGGTTAGGATATAGTATCACTTTAGGCGGCACTATGAACAGGATTTTTATGTTGCCTTGCTGTGAGCATCTTCAAGTCAATAGCAGAAGAGATGCTCTTCTCTTTTTTAATTTTTTAATAGCTCCCTAACCTACATTCAGAAGCCTCACTCTATAAAGTGCAGTGAAGAGGCAGCCTCAGGATTGAAGCCATCCAGTCTTGTGCTGTTTTTCTTCTAGTATAAGCTTCCTGCACGCCCCAGCCCTGAATCCACTCAGAAAAGTGAAAATTGGATTTTTCTGAAGCATTAAAGAATTGGAAAGAAGATGTGTTTTAAGATGGAGGCATACTATTAATAATTTACAGTGCTTGGTGGCACCTGGAGCCTGCGCATGGCAGTGTCTGGCCCAAGCTGCATGGTACCCTGGCTTCTTCTCTGGTCTGCAAATGTCCTGTCAGAGAGTCACTTCTTCCAAGTGTGATGATTTAGGATTGTTAGGAGACAGGTCAGAAACTGGACTTCTCTTAGAACTTTAGACCACTCCTGTGGTTGGGATCCGTTCCCCACTGCTAGTGAGGACAGACATCTAGAAACATTCCTGGTTCTTTCTGAGACCTGCTTCTGAGCCGCTTTGGTTCTGAGAGTGGGTTCATGTCCTTCCATTATAGGTTCTCTTGACTACGGTAGCTGCAGTCTAGGCACCATGGTAATACACTCTACCGTCTACAGCATGAGCTCCATGTTTTAGAGCTCTGGTAGATCTGCACAGGACACAGCACCCTGTCTTCTCTACGCTGATTCACAGATTCTCCTGGTTTTATTTGGAGTGGAAATTTGCCCAGTTGTACATGTTCAAAGCTACGGGTGGCCGTGTGATATGTGGTCCTACGGGATGGCCTACAAAAGGAATTCTTGTGGGATTGCTTTCCTAACTCTCTTAAAGCACCCTTCCTTCCTCTGTCTCCTTTTGCTTATGTGAAATGAGGGTGTAACTCCTTAGAGGGAATAGGCATGCTGTAAACTTGTCCCAACTGCCCAGTCCCAGATAACCAACTCAGAGGCTGAATATGAATTAGAAATGCTTGGCTGAGCCGGGCGGTGGTGGCACACGCCTTTAATCCCAGCACTCGGGAGGCAGAGGCAGGCAGATCTCTGTGAGTTCGAGGCTGGGCTGGACCAATAGCCTCCAAAACAATACAGAGAAACCCTGTCTCGTAAAAACCAAAAAAAAAAAAAAAAAAAAAAGAAGAAGAAGAAGAAATGCTTGGCTGATAGCTCAGGCCTATTACTAACTAGCTCCTACATTCCAAGTTAACCCATATTCCTTATTTATTCTCTGCCGCATGGCAGTGCCTTTTTTAGCATGGCATGTTCATCTCCTCTGCATCTGGCTGGTGTCTCCTGACTCTGCCCTTATCCTTCCCAGCATTCTCACTTTGGCTTTCCTGCCTATGCTTCCTGCCCAGCTCCTGGCCCGCCAGCTTTTTATTAACCAATGAGAGTAATCCGCATTCACAGTGTAGAGAAGGATTCTTCCACAGCTGCATGCTACGGTTGTGAAGTGAGGGTATGATGTAAAGGGCCACCCCTTTCAGGAGAGTGAACGGAAGGAATATGGAAACACGATCTGTGAAGGTGTCACAGTCGTCTGGTGGTCTTGGTGGCCTCCGTGAAAAATTATCAAGCCCTCTTTGGTAGAGTCACCAGACTTGGGTTTGTGATTTTTATTACTGGGTGCTGTACATGTTCCTAACTGGTATGGATTTTTTTAAATTAAGTGCCTTATAAAATAATGTCTGCTGTCAAGTAGTTATTGAAACATACTTGTTAAATGAATAATAAATCATGAATGACGTTAACAAGAGGTTCTGTATTTGTGTGTGTAACCTCAAAATTACTTCCATCGACAGGAAAATGGTACACAAACTGTACATGCAGCTAGTTGCCGAATCATGCCACTTTTTTCATCATTCCGATGCATCAACTTTATCTACGACCCCAGGAAAACCCTGCCCTGTAGAGCCTTGCCATATTCCCACCTATCTTTGGGAGCTTTTCTTATAACCATGCAAGCCTGAACTCATCGCTAATTTCTGAGACTCAGGCCAATTCTCTTCCCTACAAAGGGGTATGGGAGGGAGGCCTTCATCCAGAGAACAAGTGCTGTTGGTTAGGATGTTTTGTAAAGATGGCAGTTGTTATTGTCCAAGTAGACAGCAGGGAAGGAGGGGAAAGCAGGGTGGTAGTTAGAAACCCTCAACTCAGTCTTCTGCCTAACCTCATTCACAGCATCTGTGGGGCACACTCACTATATCATCTGTGGGTGGAGCACACTCACTGCACCTGTGGATGGAGCACACTCACTATATCATCTGTGGATGGAGCACGCTCACAGCACCTGTGGATGGAGCATACTCACTGCACCTGTGGAGCACACTATATCATCTATGGATGGAGCACACTCACTTCATCTGTAGGTGGAGCACACTCACTGCACCTGTGGATGGAGCACACTTACTATATCATCTGTGGGTGGAGCACACTCACTGCACCTGTGGGTGGAGCACACTCACTATATCATCTGTGGATGGAGCACACTCACTGCACCTGTGGATGGAGCACACTTACTATATCATCTGTGGGTGGAGCACACTCACTGCACCTGTGGATGGAGCACACTTACTATATCATCTGTGGGTGGAGCACACTCACTGCACCTGTGGGTGGAGCACACTCACTATATCATCTGTGGATGGAGCACGCTCACAGCACCTGTGGATGGAGCACACTTACTATATCATCTGTGGATGGAGCACACTTACTATATCATCTGTGGATGGAGCACACTTACTATATCATCTGTGGATGGAGCACGCTCACAGCACCTGTGGATGGAGCATACTCACTGCACCTGTGGAGCACACTATATCATCTATGGATGGAGCACACTCACTTCATCTGTAGGTGGAGCACACTCACTGCACCTGTGGGTGGAGCACACTCACTATATCATCTGTGGGTGGAGCACACTCTCAGCACCTGTGCAAGTGTTAGTAACTTCTTTGAGCATTGGTTGTATCATCTGCAAAGTGGAGAGTGAGAGGCACCCATCTTTCAGATTATGTTATCTCAAATGAGGCAAGTTCTTATACTGCTTTGTAACTGTGGATTGAGGTGTTGGATGGGGTGAGTGGTCTAAATGTGCCTATTAAGTTTTATATGGTCAGCAGTGTCAAGGCAAAGACACAAAAACACTTGAGTGTTTTCTCTTGAATCCTTGGTCTCTTTGGACTTTTTTGATATTCTGATTTTTGTTGTAACACAACTGTTGAGGTCTCTCAATGTCCTAATTCATGCTATTACCTCCATATCTTTGGACACTGCCAAATGCTCATGAGAGACTCTTACAAGTTATCCATTAGCCTCTGGAACTTGGCCAGGCTCCCACTGAGCCAAAGAATTCAGGAATGTATTGATCAGACATTTACGTAGTTATGAAAGAGTCCATGGTCACATTCCCATGGCTCTCCAATACTGAGCCTAGGAATGAGGATATTGGGTCTTTTTTTCATTCTTTTTCTCTCTCTTTACCTAATTGTTTACACAGTGATTTTTACACAAGTTTTATAGGGCATCTTTGACAAGGTATTAATTATGACCTATATTTTTGTCAAGATCCTACCTGGTAATCCAGTCCCTTCCATTTCAAAGAATTGTTTTTATTGCCGAACCAAACTAACCTGGTGTCATTCTGTTCTGAGACCTACTCGTCTCAAAGTTCTCCTTTAGGGTTCTGGAGATCTGATCAGCTAGACACAGCTAATTATTGGGTAAAAGTTCTTTGGGATACAGAGGCTGAGGCATGGAGTTGAGTGCAGATGATTCATTTGGAAGGTAACTCAGGGTCCAGTGTGGAGAGGGCAGTTCTGCAGAACCCACCTGCAACACCCACAGAAAGCATTCTAGACCTTCCTCTTCCCAGAATCTCACTCTCCTGCACTCCTAGGCTGTGTGCTTCCTGCCCAAGCAAATAGGCTCCTTGGCATAGGAGCTGGATGATGTTAGCACATGGTGGGACAGCCTGCACATCCTTGTCCAGTACAGGTGTGTCTGATGGCAGAGGTTGGCTGAAGACTAGTGACTAGCGCAGAGGGGAAGCTGTCACCCGGAAGGTCTGTTTTTGTAAATGTAGGCTGGTTGTTCAAGGGCCTTGGACTGACTAGAACATGTGCTGAGTGGAGAGGCATGCCAGTTGGGGGGTTCTTGTTCCTCAGGGGACACAGGTCCTTCCAAGTTCTAGGAAGCTTGTGCTGTGGAGTGGGCTAAGATCAGTGAGGTTTTGCTTACCATCCAGGCATGGTGGCTTTTAAGAAGTGGGAGTTAAGTATTTCCTTATAGGCAAACAGATAGGGAGCATGACTAGGGGATAAAGCTGGCGGACTTCCAAGATGGCGGCTTATTCCTCATCCTCCTAGCTCAGACAAAGCCTGGTGACTTAAAACTGGCCCCCCCCCATCCAATGAGTTCAAGTACATGTTTATACAACAGTGGGCCACTCTGCCTTGTCTTTCTTCAAACTGACCAACCCTAAGTCATGGCAAAAAAAAAAACAAACCAAAACATGCCTAATTAAAGTTAAACACCTCATCCTCACCTGGGATTTCCCTCTTTACCTTTATAAACTGCTGTTTTCCTGTGGGCCACATTCTATGGCACCGATTGTAAGCACAGTGAAAAAAGTGGACCACTCCATGGATAGAAAGGCTTACTGGGGCTTAGCCTTTGTCACCATCACTGCCATTTGGGGGCGCTGCTTTGGACGTATGGAATCATCTTACCTGAACATCAGAGGCGGCAGAACAGAAGGAGGCTTGCCTTAACCCTCACACATGTTTGCACAGTCATGTAAATTTGATCTCCCACCTTGCTAATTTGGTTTGCTGTTCACCAGGTGCCTAGACGAGTATGAGCACGTTGTTGATTTGTGAGCATGCGGCATGAGCTGTCTGTCATCACCCTGGGCTTTGCAGTAATTCTGGTGGGACTCTTGGCACTTTTACAGGCTTTGGCTCCTCGACACCATAGTAAAATCCCAGAGCCAGGCCAGATAAGCACTAAACTCACACCCAGCTGCACTTTCCGTGTAAGATATGTTTCTTCTTGTCTTGTTTGGCATATAAAGGGGAAAGAGCAAGGCAGAGAAGTCCCAGAATGCCAATGAATTTTAAAACCAAATGCAGGTATGTTTGATAGCAGATGGTGTATACGCTTAGACACCTGCTCTCAGAATTGTAGACAGGCATTGTTCCGTGTCTCCGATAAGGGAAGATGGTTACTTCCTTTTATTTTCTTTTTCATGTGGAGAGAGCTCCTGTTAGTTTTTGTGGACTTGTTATGAGCTAGAGTCACCTGAGCAGAGGGAACCTTGACTGAGGATTTGCCTTCATCAGGTTGGCCTGTGGGCAAGCCTGGAGGGCATTTCCTTGATTGCCGACTGATGCATTAGGGCCCAGCCCACTGTGGGTGGTGCCATCCTCTGGGCTGATGATACTTGGTTGTATAAGAAGGCAAGTAATGTGAGTGAGCCAGTAAGCAGCCTTCCTCTGTGGTTCCTGCCTGGACTTTGGCAGATGAACTGTGATTGTGACTTGTAAGTCATTGTTTCATCAGTCACAGAAAGGAACTAGGTCAAGGGGTTAATGCCGATTTTTCTCCGTTCTCCCAAACTCACTCCAGCAGGGAAAAACTTAAGAATTACCTGAGAGTCAAGCTTGGATGTGTGGGGTCCACATTTGTCTCTTCCTGCCTGGGCTCCACCTACCTGTAGGGAGCATGTGCACTGATTAACCAGGGTTGTCTAGACCTTTCAGTTAACATGCATTTTTCAATTGCCTCTAGTAAATGTGTTCTACCCAATCATTGAGCAGTTCTGTTTGACTCTCAACTATAAAATTGCCCTGTCAGCCAGGTGCATGTCAACAAGCCCAGTTGTTTACCTGGGTGAGGGGCATAGGAGCTCAGTAGAGCAAGCACTTTATTGAGTGGGCCATGTTCTCAGTGCCCTCCCTCCCTGTCTGTCTGTTTTTTTTTTCTTTTCTGTTTTTCTTTTGCGGGGAGGAGGGGGCATGGTCTTGTGTATCCTAGACTGCCTTCAAATTCACTATGTAGCTGAGGCTGGACTTGA